AACAGCTCTACTTCACCAATTCTGAAATGGCAGAATGAGTGATGTGTAGCTTCCACTCTTTTTTACAAATGTGTCATTTTTCATGCACCCACCATATGCACATTCCTTGCATCGATAGCTAAATGCATTTCTGCCCATGTATGCAGACATTTAGGTAAGACACACATTTTACACTTACTTCCCCTTACATCTTCACCTTTAGTTTTTTAAAATTAATTGTAGACTTGTAGCCTACATATTGGCATAAAACTAAGTTTTACTTACAATATGTATTTTCTCAAAAAGTATTATGCAATTAGATCAAGATTTTCCACACTTACTAGAGTTTCTCATCTGAGCAAGGAAAAATACTTAATCCTTTTCTTACATACTGTACGTATAGACAGGGTAGCCTGCTTCTTTTTGTTGAATGCGTCATTTCATTTTGAATAGTCCGATACTATATTTAGTAATTAGCACCGAATTTGTTAATTTAACAAGCTCTAGTTTATTCCAAGTCCTAAGGAGAAAGAGAAAAATATATTCTCTTCCCTCTACATTTCCCAGAGTTTCCCTGAAGAGAAGCAACATCCACCAGAAGGCCAATCTCACAGTTTGAGAAGGGCTGCATTAAATGTAAAACATACAACAGAAGGATAACCCTAAAATCACCAGCAAGGGAACCATGAGAAATCTGAAGTAATTAAACAATTGGACCTTTTCACTTGTACCATATGAGAGTTCTAAAACTCTGCATGCAAATCAATTTAGGCTTGCTTAAAACAATGGTAAATGTCTTTTACTCTTTCATCTAAACTACCCTTAATACTTCAGTTACTGTAATGAATAAAAATATAAGAGAGGCAAATACAGAGATGAAGTCCTGTCTCCCTTAGGGACTAAAACATGTTTGCTATGTTAAACTAAATTTGTTGATACTGGCAAAAGAAAGTAACATATCTCATATTTTAAGGGACAGACAAAGTTACCTTAAAAAAAAGGGGTACTTACTGTGAACAAACACTGAGAGTCAAACTGTGTTAGCTACTGGCATTTTCTGTACTGGTAATGTAACACCGACAGACCCCGGTCGTCAGCAGGCAGGATCGAACCTGGGACCTCTGGAGCTTAGTGCATGAGCCTCTACTGCATGAACTAAAAGCCAACTGCCTGTTAGCTAAGGCTGTAGAGCAGACTCAATCTCTCTCTCTGGTCTCAGTGCCACTAGATAGGACAGAGCACCACACCCAGTAGGTGTGTGGGTTACATACATCCCCTAGCTGAGGAAGCACACCCTGAGCTTCAGACACTTCCCAGTTGAAATCCCAGACAAGCCCCCACTTGTAACACTGACAGACCCCGGTCGGTGGCAGGCGGGATCGAACCTGGGACCTCTGGAGCTTAGTGTATGAGCCTCCAACTGGCTGTTAGCTAAGGCTGTAAAGCAGTCTCTCTCTCTCTCCACCCCCTCCATTAAATGGACATAACACCACACTCAGTAGGTGTGGGGGTTACAGTAGCAAAGCACAATTTCTCCAGACAGGGATTCACCAGACCTCACAATTAAAAAAAAAAAAAAAAAAAAAAAAGCCCACAACACACAATACCATGCTGTCAGAAAACCATGTCATAGCCTATACCTCTCAGCCAGTCTCTACGTGGTTTATGGAAATCTGTAACAGCCTTAAAGGCTCTCTTTAAACCAGAACGTAAGGAACACACAGTAAACAATTAGGGCCCAGTTCTGTCACATGATCCATTCATGCTTGCATTAACAGTAGTAGGGATTACATAGTTACACATGTGGAAAGATAGGGGAATCAGCCGCTAGTATTTAACATAAGCCAAATTACTTTGAGCAAATATTGGAAACATTCACTGACACATGATTATGAGGCAGAAATCACATCAGAAGTAATCCTAAATTACAGGAATGTCATCTACCAAAACCAAAATCAACAAAATTCGAGTTGATGATTGGAATTTGAATTAAGCATCAAAGCAGTATGCAAATCACACAACAGGATGATGTTCCTACATTTTGTACCAGTCTGAAGAATATTATGCAAGTGGGACAATTCTCTACTTTGAAAATTATGGACTAGTTGCACCAGAGCCATACAATCTTAGCTTCTTTATTATCTGTACTACCATACAGTATTGCATTGATACTAAAGTTGGAAGTAGTAATATTTCCATGGAACAAATCAGCCTTGACAACAAGTATCTTTCCTTGGACTAAGATTGCAGACTCAAAACAAAAACATACCAAATCTGGATACTATCTTCACTGAATTTACTACTGTAAAAGATATCTGTCAGTCATACCTTATTCAGTTTATAAACTTTTTTCAAAAACCGCTATTGTTAAACAATTAACTAAATTGCATTTTTAGATAAATCTCATATCAATGCTCATACCATGTCATAAGCAGTGGAATGTATCGTGCCAGGATTAACACATTTGTTGGATAACCCTCATAGCCAATATGGGATTATGTACTACTACAAACATTTTAGATTCCCTCAGTCAAGGTTCATGATGTAATTTAGCACACTAACTACTTCACAACTGTGATTTGTAAAAAGCCACAACATGGGGTTCTTGGATCTTTCACTACCACAGCCACTCCTGCATTGACCAAAAGTCCAACAAATGCAGGTATCTTGTATAACAGGTGACAATTTTACCACTAAACCGATTGTTCACCGGATGATAACTGAATAGAATTTCACTGCATTTAAAAATACAGAGGATTCAAAAGTTAGTATAGTGAAAACTTTAACCAGAAATATAGCCTGCACATGAAATATCTGAGATACCAGGTATTATGTAAGATACCCAACACAGTGGTTTGAGCATTGGCCTACTAAACCTAGGGTTGTGAGTTCAATCCTTGAGGGGGCCACTTAGGGATCGGAGGCAAAAATCTGTCTGGGGATTGGTCCTCCTTTGAGCAGGGGGTTGGACTAGATGACCTCCTGAGGTCCCTTCTAACCCTGATATTCTATGAAAGTTTGAGGATGAAGAATTAATTGGAACAGAAATGGGAACAAAACTAAACAATCGACTAACTTATGTCCAAAAACTCTCCATAGCACTTTTTGAAAACTGAAGAAGGATGAGTGTATCTCATTCTTGTACCAGGAAATAAACCCAGACAATATTTTGCACTTGAAGACAAGCAAAAAGTTGACAAAATTCTAAATTGTACAAATTGAAGAGTATGTGTCTAAAACTATTAGATTGACCAAAGACTGAAGAAACAGACTTGCACCCAGAAGAGACAGGAAACATGACCAAGAAAGACAGAAAGAAAAAGGATCAGATGTTCACCTCTGCTGCAGCCCCTATATGCCAGATGAAAGGGCTGGAGTGGCATAAATGTACCTTAAAAGTCCTGAACCTTGCCAAAGGCAGATTCCTACAGCACAGGTACAGTGGAGGACATCCATAAGGTTGCCTTTCAAGGATGCCTGGCAAGCTCTAGTGAAGGGGGTATTCCAGGACATGGCTAGGGATGGGGCCACAGCACAATACTTCAGAGATTCGGAGTAGCCCAGGGAGGGTGCCATCCATTAGATGGCCCTCTAACCAAAGGGCTGACTAAAATTATGCTGGGGACCCCCAGAGCAGCCCAGTCAGATGGGCACATCTGATCTCCCTCTAGACTACAAGGTCTATCCATCGGCTCATGTGAGATTCTGCACTGTACTTCTTACAACTTATCTGCTCCGTTTTAAAAGAAACACTGGCAATGTCTGATGTTGAACTCTGAAAGCAGGACCCAAGGAAAGTGTGTGCATGGGGCTCTATTTATTGGATAGTAACGAAGGAACAAAATCATGTACCTATCTGTAGAAGTAAACCTCAAAAGGTACTAAGTTCTGAACATCTGGAGCATATTTGTGGGTCTGAAACACTATGCATCACTCTGTCCATTTAGATAATGAATGGAGGAACTGGAAGTTCTGTGGCAGTCCGGTTAACTGATGACTAAGACAAAAATACTCAAAGTAGCATGCCATAAAACAGGGATGGGCAAACTACAGCCCGTGGGCCGCATGTGGCCAGCCGGCCACATCCAGCCGTTTTAATCCGGTCCTCGAGCTCTCGCTGGGGAGCGGGGTCTGGGGCTTGCCCCACTCTGGCACTCCAGCCGGGGAGCAGGGTCAGGGTCCGCTCTGCGTGGCTCCTGGAAGCAGCGGCATGTCCCCACTCCGGCTCCTGCGCACAGGGGCAGCCAGGGGTGCTCTGCGCTGCACATCGCCCCTGCAGCTCCCATTGGCCGGGAACTATGGCCAATGGGAGCTGCAGGGGCGGCGCCTGAGGACAGGGCAGCACGCAGCAGAACCTCCTGGCCATGCCACCGTGTAGGAGCTGGAGGGGGGACATGTCGCTGCTTCCGAGAACTGCCTGAGGTAAGCACCACCCGGAGCCTGCACCTCCGAGCCACCCACGCCCTTACCCGCTGCCACATCCCTGATCCCCCTCACACCCTGAACTCCTCATTTCTGGCGCTACCCCAGAGCCTGCACCTCCAGCCAGAGCCCTGGCCCACTCCCACACCCCAACTTTGTGAGCATTCATGGCCCGCCATACGATTTCTATACCAAGATGTGGCCCTTGGGCCAAAAAGTTTGCCCACCCCTGTCATAAAAAGTCTTCCTCTCAGACCAGGACCTAAAATTACACTAAAGAATGCATTACTTTCTTCAAATACACACATTTTTAGTTTTACCTCTTCATCAGTTGAACAGTCCATTTTTTTTTTCTTATTCATTTAAAATTTGAATTAAAAAATAATTGGAATAGTATTCTGAAGTTACTTCCTGTTAACTCAAAAATAAATAGCCTTAGGATTTATTCAGACCAAGATAAGACTATTACTTCAAAAACAGAAAGCAAATTCAAGTCATAATATTTGAACATCTATACTTTTTTCTCTCTCTCACACACAAATTTCTTCCTAAGGGTTTAATCTTATTAAAAAAAGATAACACTCTAAAAATTAACTTACCCACTAGATCATCATTTGAGTAATTCTCTGCTTCAACAGGAACTTCTGTAAATCAAATTTTGCAGCAATTACATATAATGTATCTGTTTTCAAAACTCTTAAATAATTCTGTACGGGTCATTTCAGCAGTAACTATTTCATTAACACAAGCTACTCTTTCAAAATACCTTTCTGAACAGAAGGGGGCTTTTGCTAGGGGTATGTAATGGGGACACTGGGCCCATTACACACACCTTTTGAAATGTGCGTGTACATTGGCCATACACTTTTTCAGTATTTATGCTTTTCACTGATTTACACACATTTAAATTTAAAAAACGGTATTACTGTATTTTATTGCCAGAAGCTGGGACTGTACAATAGGGAGTGGATCACTCAATAATTGCCCTGTTTTGTCCATTCTCTCTGAAGCATCTGGAATAGGCCACTGTAGGAAGACACGATACTGGGCTAGATGGACCAGTGGTCTGACCAAGTATGACTATTCTTATGTCCTTTTGTATTTAAAGCCAAAAAATATATACCTCTTGTCACTCAGCCTCACTGTTTGATAATATTTATTATAGCAAAGGTGCTATTACAAAAATGACCACGCTAAAAGCTTCAAAAATAGCATGCACTGTAACATTGTTAACCTTTGCAGAACAAATCTGGAAACAGAAAAAAAAAATTTAGTTCATATCTGCCTAATTATAAAACAGGATTCCATTTCACAGCAGTCACAGTTCTTGAGTTTCACAATAGAAATATTCGCTAAAAAAAATTAGGTCAGAGATTTATTGCAGAAGAGTTACTACACAAACCTGTTTCCTGAGGTCCAGCAGCAACAGTGTCTTCTGTATGTTCTTTTTCCTCTGTTACAAAGAAAATTAAGGTGTATATTACACTTACAGTATTGTATGCATGAGTTTGCTTATCACACTAACTGCAAACCCAACAGATGGGTACAGATGTGACACTAGACATTACTTATTAAAATCTGTTATGTGCAATAGTTTTTAATGCCTCTTCACTACAATAAATCTCGTTTTCAGTAAAACAGAACTATGTATTAAAACTTTAAATCATTGTAATATGAAATACCAACAGTAATATACACTTTCAGTTAGTTATATTAAAGCAAGATTTTTTTAAGTTCGTTAAACTAAAACATTTTCATAAGAAAAAAACTACATTAATATACAGTCAAATTCTGTAGGCATTACTCAGGAAAAACTCCCATTTAGTTCACTGGAAACACTGACTGAGCATGGACAGAGTAAGGCTTGTAAGATTTTTCTCACAGTGAGCTGACATACTAAATAGCTTTGTATTAAGTTCGGCGCAACTAGAATGTAGCCAGCAACACCAAAGCCATAAATGTAAAAGTTTTCAAACTTAAATCTTTTCAAATAGTCTTCAAAATAAAGAGAGACAAGGTTGGTGAGGTAATATCTTTTACTGGACGAACTTAAAACTTCTCTCTCTCACCAACAGAAGTTGGGTCAATAAAAGATATTACCTCACCCAACTTGTCTCTCTAATATTCTGGGACCGACATGGCAACAATAACACTGCATTCAGAATTAAGAGTCCATACATTCAATTTTTAAAATCAAATGCAAATACATTTCTGCAAGTAATTAAAACATTTATTTAACAGTTGGTGTGTCAGTGGGCAAAATTAACTCTATTGGGAAATCTGAAACCTCAAATATTTCTTGTAATGCACTGTAGGAAACAATTAATTACATCCCTTCCTTTTACAGTTAACTGACAGATATGGCAATTTGAACATGAAAATAAATACTTTTACAAAGCAAATATGCATACCTGATTGCTTTTTATTAATTTCCACATCCTCAGGAATTTCATCTAGAGTTCAAGGTTTGCAAAAACAAAACAAAAAAACCCCAATTAGCTGTTTTAGGGTCAAATACTTAAAAAAAGGCCTCTCTCATAGACGTTTAAGACTATAATTAGAAAACATATACCTGGCTCTGTATCTTCATTTACTGGTTCTGGAAGTGCCCCTGCAGCTAAGAAGACAGAATATTTGTAGCAATACCTAAAGTAAGTTTTACACTTGTTAAACCTGCAACAAAACAAAGTAAAGGCTAATTTCTAAGGCTCATATTACCCCTCCCATGGAAAACCTCGCAGGAAGAGAATGGAGATAAGGAAAGTTCTATGAAGTTTGTGTCTGATTCCCAAACAAGCACCTCACCACGTGCGTTCAAGATGAAAAAAATTAAGTCAATTTCAAATAAAATGTCAAAAGGTTAGAAGTTTCCCAAAACCATTAGTAACAACTGTGTTGTATAGAAACTATACTACACCTCTACCCCGCTATAACGCTGTCCTCGGGAGCCAAAAAATCTTACCGCGTTATAGGTGAAACCGCGTTATATCAAACTTGCTTTGATCCACCGGAGTGCGCAACCCCGCCCCCTGGAACGCTGCTCTACCGCATTATATCCGCATTTGTGTTATATCGGGTCGCGTTATATCGGGGTGGAGGTGTACATGGCAGAGTTAACATTGCTATAGGAGCCAACACTTTTCGATTTCCTGACTTGTGTGTTAAATTGAAAAATCAAAGCTGCACTAAAGTTAGTGGACATGTTTACTAAGACAAACTAATGCTCAATTTTATACTTTACCAGCCTGTGCCAGAGAGCAGGAGCATCATGAAAGATGCCGGGGTTCATGGATTAGTGGGACTTGGAAGATTTCACATACTATGGTGGGGAATATTGGTCTATTGTTGTGGAACTTTTATAATAAATTAACCCTGCAAAGGGCAATTTACATGTGGACAATGTGTGTGGAGTTATTAGGGACTCTGGGAGAAAGGGGAAATTGAAGCAGGTAGGTCTGTCATACTGTGGGTATGTCTACACTACCTGCCGGATTGGCGGGCAGTGATCAATCCAGCGGGGGTTGATTTATTGCATCTAGTCTAGATGCAATAAATCGACCCCCGAGCGCTCTCCCGTCGACTCCTGTACTCCACCACCGCGAGAGGCGCAGGCGGGGTCGACAGGGGAGCAGCAGCAGTCGACTCACCACAGTGAAGACACCGCAGTGAGTAGGTCTAAGTACACTGACTTCAGCTATGTTATTCACGTAGCTGAAGTTGCTTAACTTAGATCGATCTCCCCCTCCCCCCAGTGTAGACCAGGCCTTAGACCTGCAACCCCAGGCAGGAGCCATCTTATCAAATATGGTGGAGAATGTGGGAGGGCGATGGGCCTCTTGTAAGAGGGGGAACAGCCAGAGCATGGAAGAGGGAAATCGAGGCAGGGGGAACCTCGCAGGGCCACCCTGAGGCCAGGAGGGGGGGCCCAGGTGGCGGCCACCCTTTCTGCACCAGTAGAGCTTAGTCTTACTTGAAACAGGTATGTGGCACCAGTGCAAACTGTGACTTACAGTACATCATTTTATCTTTTCTACCCCTGGAGGTTTGATTGGTTTAGCTACTCTTGTCACTGCCCATCAATAGCTGAATTCAGGGGAAACCCTCAGTACAGACAAAGCCTAAGGCTCCAATTCTGCAAACAGATATTCCGATGAGCAACTTTAAGCATGCGAGTAAGTCCCATTGGAGTGAATTGGTCTGTTCCTGCAAGGCTCTGAGTACTTTCAGTTTCCATTGCTTACACAGGAGTTAAAGAAACAACACGCAGAAGCAGAACCTAATTTAGTCAAGTCCAAAACTACTGAAAAAAGTGAAGTATAAAATGGTTAAAGAACAATGCGACCACAAATAGGTTTGGACAACCATGGAGTTCAGATACCCAGAATCTGAGATCCACAAGAGGCAGTAAGCAGTAAAAGTATTAATTAACATTTTGTTATAACCTGGGGGAAAAGAAAACCTGCTTTTATAATTTTTTTTTATATAACTTTCCAAAGGAAATTAGCTATTTAAAACTACTGTAGGCAACAGAAAAAATCTCAGTCAAGTACATTTTTTAATAAGTGTCTTCAATTTGTATTAAGATAGAGTAACTTTAAAAAAATAATCTTTAAGCCCTCCTTTCAGAGAGAAGAGAAGAGAACAGCTGCTTATACTCACTTTCATCTTCCTTTTCAGCATCATCAGCTGGTTCTGTTGGGAACAACATTTCTTAGCTTCAAATTTATTATTTTGGGCCAACATCACTACTAAGCATCAAGAGAACATTTATAAAATGTGAAATGCCTAAAAAAAAGGTTCTTTTTAAGGAAGGAATAATGTTTTACAATATTAAGAAATTTCTAATTACTCTATAAAAATGGAAATAAGTACATGATTTTGTTGAAAGATAACCACAAACAAATCATCATCTAGAACAGGCTTGCATTACCCAGAGCACTAGACTGAGTATACCACAGTAGGGCTTAATTTAAATTAAGCTTCATTTTAAGGAGGCTAAAATACCTGACAAGGACTGAGAAAGTGACTATGCCAATATGGTATGGGCCCCAATTTTTGTAACATTTAACAATCTTCTGTGTATAAAACCCTACAAGTAATACGCAAACACTGTTCCATAATTAATGTAAACAACTAACAAATGTATTTAATTTTTACCTTGTATGCTTTCTTCATAGTAGTATTCATTTACAGGCTCTTTACCTGAAATGGGGATACATTCAAATGATACATGAGAACAACATTCTTTAAAATTACCTTTATTAAATGAATGCAGAATTCATAAGCAAGGTGTTATTTACCATCTAATTTACAAAGGGATGCTAGTTTGAAATCCTGTCAATTTCATTGTGTTAAAATAGTTTCAGATATTACATGTCCCAGAATTTCCCTGCCAAATTTCATAGATTCAAAAAAATTACATTTCCCTACTTTTTAAAATGGTTCTCTTTCTCCCACTCTACACAAACAGGGGAAAACAATTGACTAGGCGGGTAGAACAGTGAAGCTACCTATATACAGGTGTTGTAAATGCACCAAAAACAATTTTTTGATACAAACAGAAATATTAACTGCTCTCTCTAATCTTTCAGCTATAGCAATCTTAGATGTTACATGAAAAATAATAGTTTTCAGATAGTGAATTTTAAGTTACCTGTGCACCAATAAAAAAAAAAAAAATCTCCTTTTGGCTCTAGAAGAAATAGGGTAGCAGTTGGAGTTGTCTTCTCTTTATTTTGGTGTTGGGGAGATTTACTTATATCTAAAGTATCAGAGGGGTATTCACCCACGAAAGCTTATGCTCCAATATGTTTGTTAGTCTATAAGGCCTGGTCTACACTAACACCCCAATTCGATCTAAGGTACGCAACTTCAGCTACGTGAATAACGTAGCTGAAGTCGACATACCTTAGTTCGAATTTACCGCGGTTCAGACGCGGTCCACACACGGCAGGCAGGCTCCCCCGTCGACTCCGCGGTACTCCTCTCGCTGACGTGGAGTACCGCAGTCGACGGCGAGCACTTCCTGGTTCGAATTATCGCGTCCACACCAGACGCGATAAATCGAACCCGGAAGTTCGATTGCCAGCCGTCGAACTACCACGGTAGTGTAGACAAGCCCTAAGGTGCCACAGGACTCTTTGTCGCTTATATCTAAAGGTTACTATCCTAAAGTAGTTTACCTGCGGTTTCTTCTGTTTTTCCAGTCTCCAATTCTGCATACGCTAAGGGGATATAATTTTATCTTACAGTTATTTACGTAAGTGCAGTCATACAAAAACCATTGACTAATAGATTTTTCTGTAAAATAAAATCCAGCATAAACATATTAAGGTTACTAACCTAAATGATGTGTTAGCTTTGTTCTTTACTTTATTCCACTACTTAGTCTTTTTCTCTTCTCTGGAGTGGTCTTGCTCTACCCATGAACCAATTCTCTTCCCCCTCAATTTTGCCTATTGTTTTTTCCCCATTACTTTTATAGGTAGGTAAGAATTGTCATACTGGATCAGACCAGTGGTCCATATTCTAGTCCCATATTCAGTCTCCTGTCGCCATCATCAGAGACTTCAGAAGGTGTAAGGTATCTTGCACTAGGCGGCTGTGGGATCATCCATCCCTAACTTCAGGTTGCCTCTGAATCCCTTTATAGTTAAGCCTTGTCTACACAACACAGTTTTGTTGACAAAAGGCAGCTTTTGTCAACAAAACAGTGGAGGCCTACACACTACAATGCTCCTCCTGCCGATTTAACTCGCCTGCTATGTCGACATAATAAAACCATCCTGACAAGAGACAGAGCTTTTTGTGACGTAGTTAGAGCGACGCAGCATCAGTGTAGACACTGAGTTCCTTACATTGCCATAACTGGCCTCAAGCCGGTATCCCACAATGCCCACCAGGACTGGTCACTGTTTTGAACTCCGCCGTCCTGCAGCCAGCTACACAGCTATGCGCCACTCCCTTTTTAAAGCCCCAGGAAGTTTTGAAATTGCTCTTCCTGTTTGCTCGGCTGGAGAGGTCACATAGCATCTGCCCAGCGCTCCTGTCTGCACTACAGGGGAAGTGCTGCTTCCACTGAGGCTGTGGGGAGAGGAGGCTGTAGGTCTGAGGCTGGGTCTGTGGGGAGAAATCACTGTAGGGATCCCCCCTATCCATGCATCTTCCAAGGTTGCAGCAATACCCAAGGCTCTCCACCCATGGGAGATTAAACACAATGACAGCCAAATAGTGTTGGAGGAATCCTGCTCTCCCCAACACTAGGGCCGCAGCGGCAGGCAGGCTGCATGGCTGAGTCCCCTGCAGCTGCACGTCAAAGAGACACCATGCATACACGCTCACTCAGGCGTGAACCCCTCCACAGAGAGTCTCTCACACACCCCCAACACACATTGCCTGTCTCTCTCTCTCTCTCTCTCTCTCTCACACACACACACACACACACACACACAGTTCCTCTCACACACGACTCCCATTCTCCTTCCCCCTCCCCCCCTCCAATCGGTGGACTTCTTATGTTACTGTTCAGCAATGTTAGTTTGGTCACATTACTAAGTGCTACTTTCAAAAGTGATTTAAAGGGTGTTACTTTTTGGGCGCACACAGCAATCATTACAAGGCTCATAGCACAGCGCGACAAATAATGCCAGGCTCAACACACTACAGCAGCACCCATTACTGTGGCTAAGTGTTAAACTGTTCCTTCAAGGCCTCCCTCAGCCGAATAGCGCTCCTCCCCTATTGAGCTCCGCTTATAGCCTTGTGGTCATAATGCACGGCACAATACTAAAGAGCAGTGCAGGATCCATGCTTTCTGACAGAGATGGCTGGGCTGCAGGTTACCAGGGTAGTTGGCAATCGAGTAGAATCCCCATGGAACGATGGGATTGAGAAACCTGCATCATGTGGTGCTGAACCAGCCCCCACGAGGCACTGCAAATCCTTCCCAAAACATGCTGCGGCCAGTTGTACACTGGGATAGCTACCCATGGTGCACTATTCTCTGTGTCGATGCAAGAGCTGCTATTGTGGATGTGCTCCACTGACACAAGGAGCATAGTGTGGACATGCAACAGCGGTTTAATTACAGCGGTGGCTGTACCCTGACATAACTTAATGTGACCTAAACCTTGAGGCAGGAGGGTGTCTCTTCCAAAATTTGTTTCGATTAACTGCTTTAACTATCAGTATTTTTGTTTTCCATATAAACACCAGTCTCTTTGAAACTTGCTAAATTTTTGGCTTTGAGGACATCCTGTGGCAATGAGTTCCACAACCTGATTATATATGGCATGGGGAAAAAAATTCCTTTTATGAGTTTGCCACCTTTTAATTTAATTAGTTTTGAGGTGAATTTGCCACCTTTTAATCAAATTGACTGTCTCTTTTTTCTTATTTTCTGAGACAACATAAGAACAAGGAGAAAACAGAAGCTCTAGATCTATCTTCGCTATAGATTTGCTATTTTATATACTTTTATTGTGGCTATTCTTATTTGTCTCCTTCGAAAGCTAAAGAATCAGAATCTTTTCAATCATCTCTGTTTATGTGCAAAGCCCTCAAAGAAGCTTCATATTCCTGAATATAGCACACTGCATCCAAACCAAATAAACAAACCTAACTTAATGGTGTTGCCAAGAGGGTAGAGGACATCCAGCACTGAAGGCAGGATCAATGGGTCAAAGCAGAGCCACTAGTGGCAGCTCCAGATGGTTTTGATTGCAGGTCCTGTAGGCTCCTTGCCTGCCTGCAGTCAATAAGCAATGGCCTGGAAGGTTTTAGGGCTACGGTAGTGGCAATGGGCAGCACACAACCAGTAGGTGGAGGGGAGCAATGCTAAACTATCACATCATAACTGTCTGAGGGAGCCCTCCCAAAAAGCTTTGAGCTAAAGAAGTTCCCAACCTGTGTCTTACTGGGTCAGACCTCAAGGGTGAGAATTCTTTGAGGATATTATCTAAAAAAACATATATGTGGAGGTGATAATCCTCAAAATATTGTTCAAAACTAACATCTCATTATAACCACCATTAGCTGAAGAGCATAATCCATCTTTTCCACCACCCAAAGTATATTCTGACTGAAAAGGCCACATAAGATATTTGTAACTTTCTGACATGACCCAGATTCCACACTATAATATAGCTGGATTGTAGGCTGAAATTAAGGTTGTTTGGGGAGCATTAACTAACAATTATCTAATGCTCAATTACTCTTTAAAAAACTAAGATATTATAATGTTTGATTTAATTGGTATTGATTTGCAGCTTTAACTCCACCTTAATGACATTTGTTTAAGAACTGTAATATCTTTCCACGTCCAACATAACAGTATTAGATCTCTACCTGTATCTTGAGTCTCAGTCCCTTCTCCATAATTTGGTTCTAAAAAAAAAAAAAAAAAAAAAAAGAATTAATATTAACCAAAAGTTCTGGGGTCTGATTTAGCAAAGCGTCATAAAATGTAACACATTTGCTAAGTGTAGGTGTTAGAGTTGGAAATTAGCTCATCTAGTCAATGCAGCGCATTCAAGTGCTTTTCCCAGTAAAGTTTTGGGGCCTGACTGTGCAGCAGCTCCACATACACACAGAGCCTTTATTGAAGTCAATGGAAATTCCACCCCTGGAACAACTATATAACCGGATCCATAAATGTCTCATTAAAAAAATTTAGTCAAGTGAAAGTTCAAAAAGTATTTTTCCATTCAACCAGATGAGATCAAAAAGTTAGATTTCAGCACATTGACCAAAGCAGAGATAAATCCTCAGGACAATTATCATTGATATGCAGGATAGTTTTATACAATTATTTGGTCAAGCCAAATTTGCTACCTTTATACATAATTCAAGGGCTATTTTTCCTTTCAAGTCTTTGGACAGGAAAGAGGCTAATTGACTAAAAGCCTTTATTATTATTTTGCTGTTGGGTAATGGCAATTAGAACTTTAAGAATTAGCTATTTATTATACGGAGATTTAACGTGTCGCTGATGTGAATTTTAAAATTTTGGAAAGGTATGCAGTACATTAAATGGACACGGAGTTTTATATCAAATTTATGCAATGTCAGTAAGTACTAAAAGAAAAGCTCAATATAAATGCAAACAAATTAACATATTATTCTAAAAATAGAATACCCCAAACTATTTAGAACAAGATTCACAAAAGGACTTATGTGCCTAACTGCCACTTCAGGTGCCTAAATCCCAGAATCAGGCACCAATAGGATTCAAAAATCCCCGCTCAGCTATCCCTGGGACCCTGCAGAAGCCTAAACTCACTTAGCACTTAAATGTTTGTGTCATAACTATAAAGGGAAGGGTAACAACCCTCCTGTGTACAATACCATAAAATCCCTCCTGGCCAGAGGCACCAAAATCCTTTTACCTATAAAGAGTTAAGAAGCTCAGGTAACCTGGCTGACACCCGACCCAAAGGACCAATAAGGGGACAAGATACTTTCAAATGGGGTGGGGGAGGGGAGGGAGGCTTTTGTTTGTGCTCTTTGTTTTGGTGGTGTTCGCTCTTGGGACTAAGAGGGACCGGACATCAATCCATGTTCTCCAAATCTTTCTGAACAAGTCTCTCATATTTCAAACTTGTAAGTAACAGCCAGGCAAGGCGTATTAGATGTAGGCAGGCAAGGCGTATTTATCTTTGTTTTCTCAGCTTGTGAACGTTCCCTTTGCTAGAGGGAGGTTTATCCCTGTTTTGTTGTAACTTTGAAACTAAAGCTAGAGGGGGTTCCTTTGGGCTCTTTGAATCTGATTACCCTGTAAAGTTAGTTATTTTCCATCCTGATTTTACAGAGATGATTTTTACCTTTTCTTTTTAATAAAATCCTTCTTTTAAGAACCTGACTGATTTTTCCATTGTCCAAAGACCCAGGGGTTTGGGTCTTTGATCACTTTGTAACCAAATGCTGTTCAAAAAGTTGGTTTCTGTTTTTTAATACACTGTTACTACTTGAAAGCAATTGAAAACTACCAATGTATTGCTTTACTTTTTGTATTAATATTCATAATCAAAATCTGAAAATTAGCATCCCTCCTCTTTTTTGTAATTTCATTGTTACAAATATGCGCTTCACTTCTGAGCATTTAGATTAATTTATTTAATTTATGTTTTCCTGACTCTCCTATTGGTAAAAAAGGAGGGGAGGTGAAAATAGGGTCTAGTTTCACAAAAAAGAAAGAAAGTGAAATATTAAAGTATCAGGACAATTAAAATGTAATCAAGATCGATATTTTCATTAAAGACAATAGTTAAAAATGTTCATCAGTCTTGGTGCACTATATCTTCTGTTAAAAAAGTATTAAAGTCACAGAATTCAGAGATAACATGAATAGGATAAATGTTAAAAGTTATCTAACGAATATACTAAGTTATTTGTTTGAATGGTAAGTTAGTGATATATTTAAAATGAAGACAAAAAAGTTCAATTCAGGTAGAGCTTCCCCCACCCCCAACAGGATTCTGAAAACTTTCCTGCATCAAAAGACAAATTTAAAAATAAGTTCCCACAAGATAGGAGGGTTTAGGTTGAGTCAGTAGCTAGATTTTCCGGTGAAATTCACAAAATATACTACAAAAAAATGACATCATTTTACAATGGCAGCACTCAGTCATTTCTATTTACAGCATGATGTAATGGGACATTCTGCTGTTTTGGATTTGATCATTAATTATCCCATAGCACTTAAACATCCTGTGACAGCCTGTATCCCATGTTGACCATTTTTTCAAGATGATAAAATGTTGTACAAAGTACGCCTTGTGAGGTATCATTTGAAAACTCAAATCTACTGAACAATACTGTCCTGGTAAAATGTGTGAATCAATATTGTATGTAAAGTTATAATATCTTACTGTATAACACTGCTGTAACATATTCCAATTAGAAAAGCAAGCCCAAACCAGTTTTCAGAGACTAAGATACATTGGCACCCCAGCCAGGTGTTAACGGACTACCACCTGGTTAGTTGGTCATTCTCTGGCAGCGGGAAGGCATGGACAAGAAATTTACATTTCATCACAAGGATGGTTCAAACCTCACAACCACAAGGGACTGTTTTTCACCATGGCTTAGCAATGATGTTTCTAGCACAAGAAATTGAATAATAAAGAGGGGAGAAGAACACTTGACCTCACTTCTCCTCCTTCATCTCTGCTTATAACATCAGTGACTCAAAGAACTGAGCTTGGAGGGTAGGGGAAGTCCTGGCTGAAAAAAATCTCAGCCAGTGGACTGCAAAGCGTCTGGTGAGAAAGGTATTTGCTTTGGATTCATTTTAGTTTGTTAAATTAAATGTCAGTTGCATTTTATCTTTTATTTCTTATGTAACCAATCCTGACTTTTATGCCTCATTACTTGTAGTCACTTAAAAATCTCTCTTTTCTTTCTGTAGTTAATAAACTTATTTCACTGTTTTAATCCAAACACTCTGGTCAGATAAAGTATGTGGGAAACTCCATATAGGATAACAAAACTGGTGCATGTCATTTTCCACTGATGAAATGACACTTTCTAGGAGTTTGCATTGTCCAGTAGAGTGCAGGGCAATACAAGATGCACATTTCTGGGAGAAAGTCTGGGACTAGAGAATCTGCTGGTGTTCTTCTGCAGAGTAATTCATGAGTGGGTAGCTAGTGGCACTCAACACAGTGTAGCTGGGATCAAGTTACATGCTGGAGGCTGTGTGATAACTGACCAGGAGTCTGTTCACCGATAAAGCACAGTAAAAGACATCCCAGGCTGGAGAACTGAGAAAACACTGAAGACAACTAAGATTCAGGAGCCTAATACTGAAAGAAAATATAGTAATGTTTATTTTAGCTGGTGGGCCTTGTGCCCATAAGGGGACGCCTAACGTCTTGGCAGACCAAGAGCCCTTTTGGTACACTCTATCCCAACCTGCAAAGGGTAGAGGGTACCAAGGATCAAAGAATTCAGAAATGAGATAAGTCCTGAGTTACTGGCTATTTGGAGAGAGACCGGAAAACTCACACTGGATCTAGTTGAATGCCTGGTAAGCAATGGGTAAGGCCCTACCAAATCCACATTACATTTTGGTCAATTTCACGGTCATGGGATTTTAAAAATCTTACATTTCATGATAGCAGATATTTAAAACTGAAATGTCATGACATTGTAACTGTAGGGGTCCTGACCCAAAAGAGGGTAGTGGTGGGGGAGGGAGTTGTAAAATTATTGTAGGTGGGTTGGGGCATTGCCACCCTTACTTTTGCGCTGCTGCTGCTGGTGGCAGCCGCTGGCCAGGAGTCCAGCTCGGAAGGCAGCACTGCCACCAGCAGCAGCGCAGATATAAGGATGGCATAGTATAATATTGTTACCCTTACTACTGGGCTGCTGCCTTCAGAGCTGGGCCCTCGTCCAGCAGCCACCACTCTCCAGCCGCCCAGCTCTAAAGGGAGTGAAGAAGTAAGGGTGGCAATACCATGCCCCTGGTACAATAACCTTGCAACCCCCCTCGGAGCCCTCTTTTGGGTCAGGACCCCCAGTTTGAGAAACGCTGGTCTCCCCTGTGAAATCTGTATAGTATGCAAAAGACCAGATTTCACAGGGGAGAGCAGATTTCACAGTCCATGGCGTATTTTTCACAGCTGTGAATTTGGTAGGGCCCTAGCAATGGGTAGCTATTGCCCCCAGTATTAAGTTAATAAAGTTATTGCCTGCTACTTAAGATCCATTCTAGTGTCTGTCTTTCACACATGCATGTTCTGAGCAAGATAGTGTTCCACTCATGTGACTCCATTACTGGGGCAGCTGCATTGTTTTACATTGCATACAAGTTAAGTTTATAAAGCGCTTTGGAATCCTGCAGGATGGAAGCTATAATATAAAGGTAAGGCATCATCAAAAAGTTGATGAAGTCCTTAAACTGTAGGAAGAAAGGCACACCACTCCCCTGACACCCAAATGAAATGCAGTTTTTTAACCACGGTATAAAGAGGAAAAAGTATTTTTTTACAGTACCTCCATGATGTTCAAGAGCATCTTCCTGTGCTAATTCAGTGTTATCTAAAAAGAAAGAAATATTTACTTGCTTTGTTTAACCTGTCATAAAATAGCCAAGCAACACAGCAGTAACCAAAATACCCTGTGAGTAAACAGTTAGCTCCACTCCAATTATATTCCAGATACTAATAGTATTTGTAATCATGCAACTTTATGTTTAAGCACTGAATACTGTTTTATAAAACCACACATCCCACAAGCTACAATAGGAATCCCCAGTCTTGGAAAATTTGTGCATGTGCTTAACTTTAAGAATGTGAGTAGTCTCGTTGACTTTGGTGGGACTATTTCCATAAGTCAAATGAAGCACGTGTGTATTTGCAGGATTGGGGCCTAGGGAGCTGTATTTACAACTATAAAGCAAATAGCATTCCAAAAATTAGGGCAACAGATTTTTGCATTTAATCAAAATAATGTTTCTACATATACCATACATGATCTTAAAAAACATGTGCTAACTTATTTTTCATTTTGCTTGTGGTCTCAGAAACAGGGTAATAATTATTTCAAGATGAAAGGGAAGATAGAATTATGAACTTGATATTGTTTTGTAAACGATATATATTTTTAGATGAGATAACGTTTGGTTGATAAAGATAACTGTTGACACAATATACTTAGTACCACATGACTTGCAGAAGTCTAAGTCAAATCGCATTCTGATTAAAAAATAGCACTAAACAAAAACAACATAGCACATACTGAATGGATTAAAAACTGGCTGACATTTGAAAAATAACTAAATAGGATTCATCAACTGGGGGTACTATTAGTGTAGTCTGGCATGGATCTGTTCTTGTCCTAGTGCTATCTATCAGTGACCTGGAAGAAAAAACAAAACCTTTACAAATAAAGTTTGCAGATTAAACAAAGATTGGTGAAGTGGTAAATAAGGACAGGTCATTAATATAAAGGGATTGGGACTATCTAGTAAACTGGACTCACTTGACCATTTAATATAGCCAAATGCAAAAGATAATACACCGAGGAACAATGAATCGTGGGTCAGACTTACAAAATGAGGGGGTATATCCTGGAAAACAGAAGCTCTAAAGGAATTTAGAGGTCATGGTGTATAACCAATTGAACACAAATTCCCAATGCAAAGCTGTGGCTAAGAGGGCTAGCACAATCCTTGGATGTATAAAGAGGGCAATATAGATTAGGAGTAGAGAGGTGGTATTACCTCCATATACAGCATCAGTTGGAATACTACGTCCCTGTGTTCCATTATTGTAATGCAATGTCCTGGTTTCCACATTTTAAAAAGGATGCTGACAAATTGGAAATGGTTCAGAAAAGAGCTACAAGAACGATTTGGGGTCTGGAAAATCCGCCTTATAGTGGGAGACTAAAGAAGCTCAGTCTATTTAACTTATCAAAGAGATGGTTAAGGAGAAACAATCACAATCTGTTGGTACCTCTGGGGGGAGAAGATTTCTTATAGCAGAGGGATCTTAAATTTAACAATGGCTGCAAGCTGAAGCTAAACAAATTCAAATAGGAAATAAGGTTCAAATTTTTATCAGTGATGGTGATTAACTAATGAAACAACTTACCAAGGGATTTGGTGGATTTTCTTAGAGACTTTAAATCAAGATTGGATGTCATTTTAAAAGGCTGCGCTAGTTTAAACAAAGTTATTTGGCTTGCTGCAGGAATTACGGGTGAAATTGTATGGCTTGCATTATGCAGATCAAACTAGATAATCATAATGGTACCCTCTGCCCTTAAAATCTAAGGATCTATAGTTACTCTAGTTTAAGAGTCACAAGTGAGCACAGGAAACTCCTTACAGGTTAAAAAAATTCAAACACATGGAGTGAAATCCTGGCCTCACTTAAGTTAATGGAAGTTTTATCATAGACTTCAATGAGGCAAAGATTTCACCAATTGTGGCCTAATTTTTTTTCACTTACCAAAATTAAATAGAACTGCTGTTTTGCAAAACCAAAGCCACACCCAGATTTGCCCATTCCTCATTACAGACTAACGTGTACCAAAAATGGTTTATTATGCCAAACTACTTGAGAATACAAACCTGAATACCATATAACATATACAAGTAATTTTTAATAAGAGGGTTTTTTAATAGTTTACAAACCTGGAACTTTTGACTCATATGCTGGCTCTTCTAAATCCATGTAATATTCATATGGATCTGTAAAGTAAGACATTTGCTGTTTTTTCATATTTAATGTTCTGATATTTTAATGGGTGACCATATTCTGGCTCTCAATCACTGCAAATAACCTCCAACCTCTCCATGTACATAGGGACAACTGGCTGAGAATGAACAAACTAAGGCCCTGCAACTGAATCAGTGTGGTTGGACTCATACATGTCTGATTGAAAAAAACATACGGTCTGTGTGGAATTTTACTCACACGGATAGACTAAGAAGAGGAGGGAAGGGACCTATGGGGTTGGATATTCTAAAAGTAAATGCATTGCTCTTCGACTAAGGTCTTATGTATCATGAGTTTTAGTACCTTATTTAGTTGATTTAAATCGGTAAACAAAAAAGGGTAATAAAGCAAAAGAGAATTAAAAAAAATTATCCACAGAAGTAGATTTTCATGATGTTAGTTCCATTAATGACTGTCACTCAATATCAAGTTCCATATGTAAGCCGTCACCGTGCCTCAGTGGATCACAACTGAGAATACCAAATTCAGGAGAAACTGCTGAGAAATAGGGCAGACATCCCAAAACTGGTGAGTTTTTTTCCATAAGATATACCAACACTAGCAACAAAAGTAAACTTCTGTCTCACCACATTGGCTAACAAGAAGTCAGAAATGCAGCCTCCTTAGGTATTCCAGACCTGGATTCAACACCCAGACACTAGATCAGGGGTCGGCAACCTTTCAAAAGTGGTGTGACGAGTCTTCGTTTATTCACTCTGATTTAAGGTTTCGCGTGCCGGTAATACATTGTAATGTTTTTTAGAAGGTCTCTCTCTCTAAGTCTATTATATAACTAAACTATTGTTGTATTGTAAAATAAACAAGGTTTTCAAAATGTTTAAGAAGCTTCATTTAAAATTAAATTAAAATGTTCATCTTACGCTGCCGGCCCACTCAGCCCGCTGCTGGTCTGGGGTTCTGTTCACCTAGGCCGGCAGTGGGCTGAGCGGGGCCTGCGGCCGGAACCCCGGCTGGCAAGGGGCCAGCAGCCAGAACCCTAGGTTGGCAGTGGGCTGAGCGGGGCCTGTGGCTGGGACCCCAGCTGGCAAGGGTCCGGCAGCCAGAACCCCAGACCGGCAGCGGGCTGTGCAGGGCTGGTGGCCGGGACCCCACAGCCCACTGCCGCTCAGGGGTTCCATCCGCCGGCTCCTGACAGCCGGGATGCCAGCTGCCAGACCCGCTCAGCCCGCTGTCGGTCTGGGGTCCCGGCCCTGCCCACATACAGTGGGTACCTACCTTCTCCCTGGTTCTGGCCCATTCTCTTCCTCCCTCTGCACTGAGCTGAGGGTGGAAGTGCACTGAGCACAGGGCTGGGGGTGAAGGGTCTGGCCAGGAGCTAGAATGAGAGAGGGGACTCAGGGTTGGGGCAGGAGATTTGGGTGTGGGGCACTTACCTGGGCAGCTCCCATTTGGTGCGAAGGGTGCAGGTGGGAATGTGGGGGGGGTGTGTGTGCAGGAGCTCCCGTTTGGTGCTCAGGGTGGAGGTGGGGATGTGGGGAGTGCATGGGGTGTGGGGGCGCTGGGTATGTGGGGGGGTGCAAGAGTCAGGGCAGAGGGCTGGGGGCATGTGAGGGGGTGCAGGTGTCAGGGCGGGGGGGGCTGGGTATGTGTGGGGGTGCCAGAGTCAGGGCTGGGATCATGGGGGGGGCTGAAGGAGTCAAGCAGAGGGCTGGGTGTGTGAGAGAGGGGTACAGGGCTCAGGGCAGGGGCCTGGGGTGTGTGCGGGGCACAGGGCTCAGGGCATGGGCCTGGGTGACGTGCGAGGCTGTGGGGCTCAGGGCAGAGGGCTGGGTGTGTGTGTGTGGGGGGGGGTCAGGACTGAGGGCAGAGGGCTGGGGGTGCGTGGGGGGGGTCAGGGCAGAGGACTTCCCCCACTCCTGCGGCCCCCAGCTGGTTCACCCACTCAGGGCCCCGCGGCGCACCACACGAGCGCAACTAGCGCCCCCCAGCGAGAGAGTCCCCTCTGGCTGTGTCTGGAGGAGCCGCTCCGGGCGGCGCATGACCCAGCAGTATGCAAGGTCCTCATCCCAGGCTCTCTGGCCACCACCGATTCCCGCTCGCCCGCACCTGCTGTGCGCTCAGCACCGCCGGGCCGCAGGGCTCTCCACTCCTCCCAGCAAGTACCGATCCATGGCCGCGGCCGGGCGCCTCCTCCCGGGGACGCTCAGCAGCCGGCGCTTACTGCCGCCAGGAGTCGGGACCGGGTCCGGCAGCGAACCCGCTCCCCTGGCGCGCCGCCAATCCACCATGGCCAGCTATACCAAGGCAGCCCAGGTGAGCGGGCTCCCTGCTGAGTGAGGGGACGTGGGAGCCCACGGGCAGGCCGCTGAGGCGGCTCCTCTCTGGGGCGGCGCAGGCTCTGCCCCTCACTGGCTGCGTGTCCTCGGGACTCGGGCAGGCAGCAGCGTGCCATTAAAAAAATCGGCTCACGTGCCATCTTTGGCACACGTGCCATAGGTTGCCGACCCCTGCACTAGATTTAATGATGAGTGGTTATTTAAAACCAATTTCAAAGGGTTCTTCTAATCCCAAAGGGTCAGCCGCATACCCAGATCAATATACAACTCAGATCTTACCCAATAATCATGCTGTTGCCAATCTAATATCTAAAGGCTTATTTATAAGAGAAAGAAAAAGGTGAGAGTTAAAACTGGTTAAAGGAATAAAATACATACAATAATCCAGGGGTCGGCAACGTTCGGCACACGGCTCGCCAGGGTAAGCACCCTGGCGGGCCGGGCCAGTTTTATTTACCTGCTGACGCGGCAGGTTTGGCCGATCGCAGTCCCCACTGGCCGCGGTTCGCCGTCCCGGACCAATGGGGGCGGCGAGAAGCGGCACGGGCGAGCCGCATGTCGAACGTTGCCGACCCCTGGAATAATTGCTGAATTCTTGTAGAGTAACTCCTAACTTAAAGGCGGCCCGGTTAACCTTGCTCCGTTGTTATGTTGCTGATCAATTAGAGAACATGCTCCTTTAAAGTTGCGCAATGCTCCCTTATGTTGTTTGGCAGCAGCCTTTGCCTACCACTTGCAGAAAGAGCAACCTGTTGGAGCTAGCCTGTTGGGGGCTTGGAACCAGGGTGGGCCAGCAGCCCCCGCATCAGCTCCCTGTGTTGCAGCCACCCAGCAGACTATCAGTTCAGCTGTCCCTCCCCCCATTGCCGCGTGCTCCTGCCCTCTGCCTTGGAGCTGCTCCCGGAAGCCTCCTGCTTGCTGTGCAAAGGGGTGGGGGGGAAGAGAGAAGAGGGATACTAATGTCAGGGTCTCCCCCTCCCTCTGCTCCTGTACCTCATCTCCACAGTGCAGAGGGGGACACGACAGGGCTCAGGACGGAGGGAGCTTGCTGGCAGCAGCTGCTGTCTCAACTTGCTGATCTACTTAAAAAGGCAATGTACTTAGAGTGGGGTCAGCATACTTAAAGGGGTAATGCACATCTCTCTCTCTCTCACACACACGGTGTGTGTCTGTCTCTCTCTGCCACGCTGTCTCCCCTCCCTCCATTCGTGCTGCCTTGTAGAGTGAGAGACTACATTAACAACATGTTAACCCTTGAGGGCTCAGCCGAATGCTAGTTCATCATTTAACAGTAAGGCATTCCCTGGGAAATATCCCACCCTTACTTCACCACCTCAACTGAGCTTCACAATCATCATTGCTGTGTAAAGTATTAAATTGTTTATACACATATAAAATAGTCTTTTGTCTGGCGAAAACATTTTTTCCTGGAACCTAACCCCCCCCCCCATTTACATTAATTCTTATGGGGAAATTGGATTCACTTAACATTGTTTCTCTTAAAGTAGCATTTTTCAGGAACATAACTACAATGTTAAGCGAGGAGTTACTGTACCAGGTTTGGAGCAGCGATGGAATAAACTGCTGACTTATTAAATCTCTGGGTGCTTCCAAATCATTGGTTAGAATGCTCCCATTAGTGTAAGTTCATAATCCAGAGATCAGAGCAGGAAAGAGACAAAACGGAGATGCTTCCAGGGCCTTTTATAGCTTCTGGCATGTGGAGGGAAAGCTCTCAGTCTTAGTTTGGGGGAAAATATAGGCACAAAATGGAGTTCAGTACCACACGGTCTAGTCACATGCCCTTGCATGCTTCTATGAGTCATAGCAGGGGCCATTACCCATATTCTAGCTAGAATGTCCACAAGAATGTTCATCTAGTGAAGATAGGTTTCTTCCATGTCCTATTGTGTTCACTGATGGGCCGTCAACTCAAATATTCCCTTCCCAATATGCTGGCTAGACTGGATTTAAATACCTTGTGGGTGTTATCCAGAAGCAAACATTGGAAATGCAGGTACACAGTCAATATTCATAACTCCAGATACAAAAATAATGCATGCTTACAAATAGGATGATCACACTCAGCAAACCATAACTTTTCCATTGACACCTTAGATGGCATACATTGTACAAGATTTTTTGCAATTATATAACAGTGGTAGCAACAATGATCTACATGGTCATATTTTTATCAGATAATGTAAATTATCCATAGAAGTAGACTTTCATTATGTTAGTTCCATTAATGCGGTCATTCAACAGAAAGTTCCATATGTAGGCATAGGGCCTAAATTTCAAGTGCAGGTTCACGGTAAGAACAACAAGAGAAAAAAAATGTTTGATATACCAGTAGATTCTAAACTTCTGCTCATCTTCATATAAGGATGCCCATATCATAATAAAATCTTCCCATTTTCAGCTCACTTACAAATTCTGTCACCGCCCTTGTCTATCAACACATGTCTATCAACATACACTTCTACCCCGATATAACGTGACCCAATGTAACACGAATTTGGATATAAAACAGTAAAGCAGTGCTCCGGGGGGCCGGGGCTGCGCACTCTGGTGGATCAAAGCAAGTTCGATATAACGTGGTTTCACCTATAACGCAATAAGATTTTTTGGCTCCCGAGGACACCGTTACATCGGGGTAGACGTGTACATAGAGAACCACTACACCTAAACAATAGAAAAAAAATCAAGTCAGCATTGGTCTGTTGTCTAATACATCTTTGTTCAAGAATAGGGAAACAAGATTCTGGAAAATTATACATTAATCTATGATGGACCACAGAAAGGGTGTGTGTGTTTTCATTATACCATTAAGAACAGTCAATTAAATGGCAGGACACCACAATTCTTGGCTGTATTTTTTGAGGTCAAGGTCATCATTGCTTAGTGAATCAGCTACCCGGTTAAAGGGTTACCGGATAACGGTCTCCATACAAAACTGTCACTTGACTGGTAAGCCTGTTTTTCACCAAACAACAGTCATGGAGGCAGGAGAGCAAAGCTTGCTGTTGAATGACAGCATTAATGGAACTAACATAATGAAAGTCTACTTCTTGGATAATAATTTTTTTTTAATTTTCTTTTGCTTTATTACTACCCCTTTGTTTACTGATTTAAAATATACTAAATAAGATACTAAAACTCATAATACATAAGGCCTTACTCGAAGAAAAATGCATTTACTTTTAGAATATCCAACCATAGATCCCTTCCTAGTCTGTCCATATGTGAAAAAACACGGTGTGTATGGAATTTTACTATCAAATACATATTCTAGACAGCCGGGGCATATGTTGAATGTACCAAGTCTTTCTGCAACTTTTGCACTACTGAAGACAGACACTTTTTTGTGATTACAAAAATTCTTCCCTTACATTATTAATTTTAAATTGCAAACCTCTTAGTCCATTCAAAGAATTCAAATACCTTAGACAACAACAATAATAAAAAGATTTTGGAGACAACAATAAGATGATTTTGGAGCAGTACAAAGTGTTTTAAAAATCACAACTCTAGATTAGTTCAGTGATTTCTATTTAGCTTTTCTGTTTTTATTTTTAGCAGTAAGGCAAAAAGCACCAGTATTATGCAGTATAAGAAAAACAG